ACTCTAGGCTTTATTATCTTTCAACCTGAATTCCTTACTTTGGCTTATATAGTTACATATATGCTTAAAATTAATATCAAATATAAGGTAAGATACTATACTGCCGAAGATGATGATGATTCAGGAATGCTGCTTTCAGTCAATGCAGCATTAAAATGATTAAATCATACTACTAGAGAACTGGATATACATGAAAGCAAATAGTGTAGCAGCAGCTAATCATAATTTAAAGTTAAAGCTAAGAAAAATAGAGATAAGCTTAAAATCTTAGTAAATTAGAGAGAGGTAGGTCTCTGAATCACCCAAGCTAGAGCTTAGCACACAAACATCTACAAGTCCAAGAAAGATTGTATAGCATCATGAGCAATCAGCCTTAGACCTTTTAGCAGAGTGACTGCTCATGATGTTATATCGTTTCATGAAGCTGCTCTTTAGTCTTCTTTTTTGTTGTTTTTTTTTTTTCTTTGAAGTCATGTGCTGGATAAAGCTGCTAGCTGCCCTTCGAACAGTTGTAATAACCACTTTCTATCGGAATCCGGCGCCAAGGGCTGGAGCCCAGAAATCTGCTCCATTGTCACTCCCAACTTGCAGCGTGCATGACACAGGAACCAGGCACAGCCCTCTACTCCTCAGGTCCTTCTTCTGTTCTTCATGAGAATCCTGGAAAATGGAAAAGTAAATTTATTAATGATTCGATTTTATACCACGCATGTAAAGGGCAAATAAAAAGAAGGAGAAATAATGTTACAGGGCAGCAAGAGTTACCTGCTGATCAGGACCACCTTTCCTCTTCATGCAGTTATCGTTCAACAGCTAAACAGCAAGATGGCATCCGAAAAAGTATTAGCATTTTAATTGATTTGTCAAACCAAGCATCATTGTTTCTTATTTGTTTATAAGATGTTAATTATTTCAAAATGCGAACAAAGGGTACTGATAATAATTCTTTTCGTTTATAGATCTTAATAAAGAGTAAAGCTATAAAGCTGAGAACATTGTTCTTTTGACACTATCTTTATTGGTCTTCAAAAAGAAAACACAGTAAACGGGTAGCTATTCCAATTAAATTCAAGTTTCCGACTTCCCACCAAGTTCCTTTGAGGTAATGGATCCAATAAAGCTTATTATACATACCTGACCGGGGTCTTCAGGAAATATACAATTTCTCTCCCCTTGAACCTAAACAAAAAGATTATAATCATTAATCAATTAATACCACATTATTCAAAATTTTTATTCTTCATGCACATGCATACATACACAATTCCACATGCAGAGAGATTTTTGTCCTTTTGTTTTTTGGCTTCGGGAAGTGAGAAATATTAAGCATGATGGAAATAGTTTTCTTACAGATTGTTGCTGCCTCATGTTTCCTGATCCACTGCCCAAGTACGGTAAGCTGAGAGCCTACATTCAGGGGGGATATATATACTATAAGAGAAGGAAGACTTCAATAAAAGTAAAGGAATGTTAAAGGAACATTGTGAGGCTGAGGCTTTAAACAGTGTGCCATCCCTGGTTCATGGTTGTTTGCAAAAAAGCGTAGGGGAAGGAAGAAACATCACCTCAATTTGACTCTGAAGGAATCTGATGTACCCAATAGCCTCTAACAAGACAGAGGCTGTGTCAGTCTGCAAAAGAGAGAAATATCACACCACAACCCTCCAAAGTCATATTTAATGTCTTTCTTAAAAAAAAAATGCTTCAAGAGAGGGAGGGAAAAAAACAACAATACGAAGAAGGAAGGAAGCTTTCATCTTTGGAAAAAGTCCTTTATGGGTTTCCTCGTAAAGAATACAAATGTTTTTTATTCCATTTTCGTTCTGCAAGATCTAAATCTTTGAGCCTTCTTAACTTCATTGATTAAAGCTAATTACCTTCCCAAAAGGAGAAACGAGCTGGTGAAGTGCTGTAATTCTGTCTCCTAATTTTTCCTTCCTCACCTGGTATTAATTTGTACAAATTAATCAGAAAAAACAAGGTGATGAGAACTTGATCAGGTCCCATGATTAATTACTTTTAACTAAGTTATGATAGTACTATTCTTTCTGTTCTACATTGATAGAAGAAAGGGAATCATAGCAATGATCATAGCTATGTCCAAAGAATGGTCATCCGTGAAGAAATGGACAATCAAGAGAAGGACAACTACTTTACCAGCCCACGGATGAGTATGTGTGTTTTCTGCTTGTGGGTATCTTGTGGGTGTGCGTGCAAATTGCGTTTTTGTGGAGTGTAGGACAGAGAGAGAAGGAGAGAAGGCTGAAAGGGTTAGGTATTTTTACTGGGCATTTTTTGTACATTACCTTGAAGGTAGATTGGGTTGCAGAAGGTTGAACCCTAGCTTTCTTTAATGTCCCACCAGTTGCAGTGCTGTTACACTACAGAAAAAGAAAAGAAAAGAAAAGGAAAAAATAAGATGAGAATTCTGATTGGACAGCAATCTGATAAATCAGAGACGGTTAGTTAAAAGAAACCCTTCAAGGCCTAGAAGAAGACATTCAGCTAACTAACCTTGTTATATAAAACACTATTCATCAACCACCGGTTGTACTACTTTATCAAAGTAGAATAGATCAAATTATGGGTATAATTCACGCATAAATTTGATAAGTACTTCAAAAAAATCAGGAAACCCTAAAATGTCTGGAAATTTTTTTTCTATCTATTAAATATCATGAAGAATTAATACTCTCTGCTCTTTCATTTTGTCCCGTTCTTAGTACCTCAGAAGAGCGATCTGGAGGTGGATGCCTTGCATCAGCTTTGTTGCCAGAAAAATCCAACATGTTACTGCTGAAACTTGTTACGCAGGATTTGGGGGAAGAGGCAGGCATTATCTGATGAGACCAAGTTGGTTTAGTTGCCTGATGAAAATCTTCATTTGCATGCCCATACACA